CCCTCATTTGTCTGAAGGTCGTTGCCTGATGAAGTTCGCTATCAACATTAACGAAATACATTTACGTTATGTACCATCGCGAACACACGCCCTACATAGGCGTCGGAAAGTAGTAAAATTGCAATTTTCATCAGGAAGGTACTCAAATAATAAAAACGTCACATGAACACAATATTTTAAATTTTACAGGGACTAATAAAAGATGTCCGTAATTTCAAATGATTTGAATCGAAAAGGTTTAGCACATGTTAAAAGTATAGTACGCGATGGCTACGCAGAGGTTAGTTTGGACGACATCAAGTTGTTAGATGAGGAAGACAAGAAACTCAATATCAAAATTATCGGTGATATTCTGCATGTGGCAGTTCCTGCGCAAAGTTTAAAGTCGGAAAGCCAACGGAAATTTGGGTTATCAGCGAACATCAAATGGGATGATGAAGACTGTCATCGTTTTAATTTACATCAAATTTGGTCATGACATCGCATGTGTCGTCGCGCAAACTTCGATGAAGTCTGTTTGTTACCTTACGACTTGAAGAAACGCTTTCAATTGGGAAGGCATGTATTGTTCATGAACCAATTTGTGTACGGTTCAGGCTGGGGTCATGTTCCCGTTCTTCGAACAAGACATCCAATTCTTCCAGCACCAGTAGAATCAAACAGTGCTATATGTGTGAACTTACCAATTGGCAGATTGCTGCGAGGAGCGATGAAACCTTTTTGGATATACCAGAAACGTCCCAAAGTTTTCCGAGTGTTTGGTTAGTTGAGATTTGTTTACACGAGGTATGCGATGGCCGTTACGGCAAAAACTGTCCAAGCAGCAGTTCTGGTGCTTGTGAGCTTGCTCCCGCGGTTACACTAACATTGGGTGACACGTACAACACCGTCACGGCTTATATAAGTAGACAGTTAGGACTGCTAGTATTCGACAGAGAATATTTATTAAATAGTTCTTATCTAAATCGAAATTACTTTGCCATGGGTAAATTTCTAATGTTGGTTTTGACGCAGCATTGTGGTTATGAATTAATTGGATGGATCAAAGCCGAAGGCGATGACTTAAACAATTGTGGAATGCTTTGCCAGGTTACTATTAGTCTACTTTCTGTCATCGGCTGCGACCTTCCTCGTTATAATATACAAGATGAGGCAACTTAATATTGCGCACACACGGGATTGATATGATCCTTTAAATTTACGAACCAAGTAACGGGTCCTAGATTTAAAAAAACATAGCTACGGAAGGTTGTTTTGATAACAGGTCATTACCGCATTATAATCGAAATGAGAATATTATGTAGCTATTTGTTAATATGTGAAGTTTTTTACGTTTTTCTCAGAACTGCTAAAATGACTTACGCAATTCGGTTATTAGCGTGACGATTTTTAATAGCCAGTGCTCATTAGTTTCACGTCGGCACCCTCAGTTGTCTGAAGGTGGTTGCCTGATGAAGTTAGCTATCACCATTAACGAAATACATTTACGTTATGTATCATCGCGAACACACGCCCTACATAGGCGTCGGAAAGTAGTAAAATTGCAATTTTCATCAGGAAGGTACTCAAATAATAAAAACGTCACATGAACACAATATTTTAAATTTTACAGGGACTAATAAAAGATGTCCGTAATATTGAATGATTTGAATCGAAAAGGTTTAGCACACGTTAAAAGTATAGTACGCGATGGCTACGCAGAGGTTAGTTTGGACGACATCAAATTGCTAGATGAAGAAGACAAGAAACTCAATATCAAAATTATCGGTGATATCCTGCATGTGGCAGTTCCTGCGCAAAGTTTAAAGTCGGAAAGCCAACGGAAATTTGGGGATCAGCGAACATCAATTGGGATGATGAAGACTGTCATCGTTTAATTTACATCAAATTTGGTCATGACATCGCATGTGTCGTCGCACAAACTTCGATGAAGTCTGTTACCTTACGACTTGAAGAAACGCTTTCAATTGGGAAGGCATGTATTGTTCTTGAACCAATTTGTGTACGGTTCTGGGGTTATGTTCCCGTTCTTCGAACAAGACATCCAATTCTACCAGCACCAGTAGAATCAAACAGTTCTATATGTGTGAACTTACCAGTTGGCAGATTGCTGCGAGGAGCGATGAAACCTTTTTGCATATACCAGGAACGTCTCAAGTTCTGAGTGTTTGGTTAGTTCAGGTTTGTTTACACGAATTATGCGATGGCCGTTACGGCAAAAACTGTCCAAGCAGCAGTTCTGGTGCTTGTGAGCTTGCTCCCGCGGTTACACTAACATTGGGTGGCACGTACAACACCGGCTTATATAAGTAGACAGTTAGGACTGCTAGTATTCGACAGAGAATATTTATTACATAGTTCTTATCTAAATCGAAATTACTTTGCCATGGGTAAATTTCTTCAAGTTGGTTTTAACGCATCATTGTGGTTATGAATTAATTGGATGGATCAAAGCCGAAGGCGATGACTTAAACAATTCCGGAATGCTGTGCCAGGTTACTATTAGTCTACTAGCTTTTTTTGCTCGGTAACGGCGCAGTCTATTCCGCGGGCGAATCAGTTGATGATCAGTTAATCGCTACGATGACAAACAAACGAATCGAAGATTTCATGCGATCAATGGTGTTTATTCGGCCCATATACTATTGTGATAACTAGGCACTGGGCGAACGATTGTGCCATTGGGCGATTTGAATTTCAATCTCGCAAATTCGGCCGCATTTAAATAATTACATCATAGTCGAAAATCACATGTTCACTTTTGATCCAAATATTAACTTCCAGTATATATCACTGTAATATTTGTTTCTAGACTAGGTGCATGCTCTGGCGCCTTCGTTTGATACCCCAACAAAAAGGTGTTCTCCAACATAGTCATCCACCCCGCGCCGTTTCAGAAGTTTGCCTGGAAGGGCCTCCTCAAAAAAAGCTCTACATGGAAAACGTGCCACGGAGAAATCACAAGGCGTTATCTCGAAGTGTATTATCTATATTCTATGACATCATCTTCAACAGTAAAGAGGATGAAGTATACGCTAGAGAAAATGGTGCAAGGCCAACCACTTTGGGGGGGTTGTGATAGGAACGGGTGCGACATTTTCGTTTGGTTACTAACGTCTTTGCTACCGACGTTTCTCCGTGCCATTCTCCTCAACGCCAAATTTTCGAATCTGGAATTCCGAATACATTCTAAAATCGAAAATAACACATTTTTGTCTAAAAATAATCAGAGTGGCAGCATTTCGATCGAGCGGAGTCACTGTAAACAAGTACATCTGAATAGTTGCCCAATTCGCAAAATACGGATCAAAACAATATTTAATAGGACAGTTTACCTCACGTTTTTATTTTTATAACCGCGGATTGCAATGGTATATAAGAGTGGTGAGGATTTTATTTTGTCGACGCAACCGCAAGTTAAATTGAGGACAATTAAATTAATAAAGCAAGACATTTCAAATATGCCGTGTCGGTCACGAATTCATCACTTATCACAACAGAAAAATATATATTTGTTGTTATATTATTTGTTGTGAAAGTCGACTCTTTTAACAGGTGGCATAATCGCGGCGATGAATATGTATTTTTAATTCACTGCTAAACTTTATATGTATATTCATTGTATGAAATACAATATGTATACACTTAACAGGATTTTATATAATTATTTGAGATTTTTCTAACGGCGATAACGAGTTGGCAAGATTGCAAAAATACGTATTAAAATTAAATACATCAGGCAGTTTATCTGGTAATTTTAGGTCACAGATCGCGTGGACCGAATAGTAACGTTTTTTTTTTTTTTTGACGTAAGAAGAAGCAACCGCGAGTTACGTTGGACACATTAAATTATTATATAAAGATATTTTAGAATCTCGTAGTTGTCATGGATTGAATATTTTACGTAACAGAATGATCATTATACGCTGAAAAGACGGCTCTTTTAACGAGCGCGAAATCGCGGTGGGTGTTACAGGCGGCAATGGGAATTTCCGATTTCGAAAATCCTGGCTGCGCGCTAGCAGTGGTGGTCATCTATTCTCGACTAATTTATTCCTAATTTCAAATACAACAATATGTTACACATAATAACAATATGGTTCACATAAATTATTATACAAATATACTGGTAGGTAGTAGAATACCTCAGGCTTAAATATTAGAATTTTTAAAGGCATAATGGATTTTCGATTGTTGTTGCCTGTATTGCCAATAAATTTTATTATTCTCAGAAAATATACACAATGATCTGAATACAAGTAGTATTTTTGTCAATAGACTTGACTATTATCGTAATATCATGGTACCAATGATAGAAAGCGTCAGACAACTCCTTGGCTATCTTTTCATATGGTCATTTGTACAAAGTGAATAATTTTAATAAACTGACTGTGTCACGAGTTGCTATTATTTTTTATTGATAGCTATAAACTATCAATTAGATTGTGTGCATATACTGTTGGTTTGTGGCTTCATTCTGATATTTCTATTGAAGCTTATTTCCTAATTTACTGGGTTTTAATCAACTAAATTAGAAGTATATTCTTGGGATGTTTCGGAGATACGGGCAGTGGGCATATAATGTGAGTGTTATGGACCATGGCCCGCGTCCTCATTGCCGTGACGGTGGCATTTTTTCCGAATTTCCCAATTAGATTTGATTGGTCGACCTATAGTACCTGGTCGACCTATAGTACCTGGTTTAACGGGTCAATAAGAGCCTGGTCGCTATCCTTCACAGGATGAAACATGTCTGCCATCTGGAAAGTAAAAAATTGAAATAAATATCAAAGGTAATATAAATTTGAAGTACTTCCTAAGCATTTCACAAATAAGTATTTATTGGTGTCTTCATTACGCATTTAATGTAAATATTACCTTTGCCAAGAATGTAGCGTAAATCTTTGTGCAACTCGAGATAAAAATTGCCACACGCAATGGCATATAAAAGAAGGATTTGAGTTTGATTGATATAATCGCTCTTTCATTTTAGAACAAAAGAGACTCTCTTTATAACAAGCGAATTTTTGTGTTCCTATCATTATTTCACTTCTCTGTAGATCACGAAAAGTTATGGCAGGAAGGCGACAATGTACCGAATTTGATGCTGATGAAGCCTTGTTTCGTATTTTGGAAGAGTCGGACGTGGACGACGATAATTATGAAGACAGTGATATGTCATCATCAGAAGAGGAAATGATAGATAGAGACTCAGGTTTGAAAGCTTTTTTTGTACACACACATTTGTGACTATTTAGTTTACCTAAATTTGACATGTCGTTTTTAAATTTTCAGACTCTGAATCAGAACAAACTACACCGATGGCCGATATTTCATCGACTTCAACGAGCGTGCCACTACCAAAGCGTGCAAGAAAACGTGGGAGACCTGTTGTTTCTCCTCCACAACCAGAGTTCAACTGGGGGAAAATCCCACCCAAAAGAACAATACCCCAATTCGGAGGGGCAGCCGGTATTCGAAGTCGGGGTATTTCTCCCACCTCCTCTCCTTTAGATTGCTTCATGCAGTTTTCTACTGTCCAAGTAATCAACCTCATCGTGGATATGACAAACCTGAACGCCGAAAAAATGCTTCAAGGTATGTCAAATTTTCAAGCAATAAAGTATTTGTTCCTGACTAGTATTCACCTCTAATATTTATTTTATGTTTTCAGACATCAACGCTCTTCGTGTAGCCAGAAAGTTCCTCCCCAACAATTCAATCCGACATCGTTTGAGGAGATAAAAGCATTTTTGGGTCTCACTATAGCAATGGGAATCGTGAAGCTGCCGCGTCTTTCTATGTATTGGCAGCGGAAACACTGGATTTTCAGTGTCCCGTCGTTTGGCAGGATCATGTCGAGAGATCGATTTCTGTCTATTTCACGATTTTTGCATTTCTGTAACGAAATTGATGCCCCATCGCGCGATGATCCTGCCAGAGACAAACTCTACAAATTGAGACCTCTTTTGAATCTCATTAAACCAAGACTGCTTTCTGTTTACACACCTCGCCGAGAAATTTCTATCGATGAATCCCTTATTTCTTTCAACGGGAGAATCGGCTTTCGCCAATTCATAAAATCAAAGAGGGCGCGATTTGGAATGAAAGTTTGGGTCCTGGCCGAATCCAAAACCGGATACGTCTCCCGTATACAATTGTATACGGGGAATGACCCCAACGCTCTGGCGGAGGTGGGCCAAGCTAGCAGAGTCGTGAATCACCTCATCGCTCCATTTGAGCATCAAAATTATCACCTATACGTAAACAATTTTTACTCTAGTCCCGAGCTGTTTACTTCATTATTAGAGCGGGGGGTATTCGCTTGCGGTCCAACCGGAAAAGTTTTCCAAAAGAGCTCATAATCAAACGCATTACCAAACAAATTCCTAGAGGCTTCACTGAATGGAAAGCATCAGGCCATTTACTCGCCCAATCATGGGTCGATAATAAAGCGGTTTATTTCCACTCAACAATACATTATCCAGATTATCCGTCATCTTACGACGGTTCAAAATTTGTCAAAAGAAGAGGTGGAAAAGCCGGTTCTTCCGCGGGGTTAGATGTTCCATGTCCACCACCTCTTCTGAACGACTACAATTCTCATATGGGTGGGGTAGACCTATCTGATCAGATGCGGAAATACCACAATTTGACTCGAAAGTCAAAAGCGTGGTATAGGAGGGTATTTTCGTACCTGTTGAAGATATGCATGCATAACGCAAGAGTTGTGTGTGAATCCGCATCTGGTCAGAGATGGCAGGGCTTGGAATTTAGGCAAATACTAGTAAATGAACTAGTTGGAAATGTTCGGACAAAAATAAAACCAGCACGTAGATCTGAAGAATCCGCGGGGACCCCCCGACTACAGCTAGGCCATCACTTACTTAGGAGTACTGGTACGCGATGAATTTGCTTTGTCTGCAGAAAGCCCCAAGCGACCAAAAAGTAGAAAATGTAACCCGAACAATAGTAATCTGTTCAGAATGTGATGCTCTATGTGTATCCACCGGCAAAACCTGCTTTGAGGATTATCACAAAAAGGTCGAATATTGGCGGTAAACTCTCCACGTTTTATTGCTCTGTAAATATATGTATACATATGTGTGTGTTTGTATTATCCTACTATTGTGATATTTTGTGAATGTAAACGTGTAAATAAATGTCTACTATATACAACGAATTTGTGTTCACCTGGCAAGAAAAGAATTTGAGAGAGAGAGAGCAAATCTATTACTCCCAAACTATGCCTCGGGATCGATTCCAGGTGACATATCACACCATGCTCCATGTTTGCGATGTCGACGAAAATTATCGGTTCAATGGTGACAAGATAGAGCCGATAATACAAAATCTTGTGTGGTCTTTCCAAAGGCATTTGCTCCATATCAAGAGCTTTCATCCGACGAATCGATGATGGGTTTTAAGAGAGAGTGTCTTTCAGACAATATGTGCCCAAGAAGTCAACTAAATGGGAATTATTAGCGAGAACATTGGCTGATCCATATACAGGGTATATGTTGAATGTAGCACATTATTATGGACGAGATGAAAAGAATGAACCGATAGCGCATCTTACTAAGACTGCAACTACTGTTGTAAATTTGCTCCAGCCGTATTTGGACGAAGGTCATCACACGTTTTGTGATAGATTCTATACATCACTACCACATGCGGAAAACTTGTTCCGTAGAGAAATCTGCATCACCGCGACATTGCATGCAAAGAGAAAAAGTATTCCACCAACAATGAGAGCCAAGCAGGAGGATTTCAGAGCCATGAGGTCAGGCAAAATAGTACTTCACATCTGGACTGATAAACATCTCTTTCAACATTTCACAGAGGTGACAGTATGATTCAGTATGATTAGCAAGAGAGTTCGAGGTCGGAATGAAGTGATAGAAAAGTCTCTTTAGATCGAATCTTACAACAGACACATGGGAGGCGTTGACCTTGCTGATCAGTTTGCTTCATATTATATCTTCACCCGTAAATCAAATTAGGGAAAAAGATGTTTTTCTGGATTTTAGAAATAGTATGATCAGTGGTGCAAAACTTTTAAGTGGTCCGACACCACTTGAGTGGTGCAAAGTGATGAATCTATGAATCTACCACTCACACCAGGCAACTGTATCAGTGTAGGCAATATTTATCATTTGGACAACATTTTTTACAATAAAGTTCTGAATAATTGAAAGGAACGCAACATTGATAAACTACCAAATTTGCCTTCAGGCAAGATTAGTTTTAAAATAGTTTTAATGGTCGTCAGATGACGATTTTAATAATATAATTTGGCCTTCTGACGTTCACATAAACTATATAACCGGAATAATTAGCTTATGTCTTATAAAGTTTTTATAAACATATCCCCATAAAACTATTCCGCAGGGCATAATTTACCGTCCACAAAATGTATATAAGCCTGTGAAAAATCTACTTAAAAAAACCAGCGGTGTTCTTCCATTGCTTGGTCCAACAACTGAACTGAACCTCATACAATAAACAAATATACGTCTAAAATAGTAGTATTATTGTATTGTATCCTACATTTGCGACACGACAAAGTATTGTGCCTCCTGAAAGGATTCAGATTAGTTACTGTTGCGCAAACGGATATCTGCAACAACATCTACAGAGGGACGAACAAAGCTGAGTACTATTCACGATTCTTCCTAACTTAAACGCAGGGGCCATTAGCTAACATTAATCGCCAATTTTTTTTCTCAGTTGCAGACAAGCAAGAAATGACAGAGGACAAGATGGAAATGCAATAATTCAAGCTAGACAACATTTTTTCGTTGGCAGACGACTGTTGAAATGACATGACGACGAATATAGACGATGGCTCAAGGACAAACGAAGAAGTCGTTGAAATGACAAGAAGACGAATATGGACGATGGCTCACGGACAAACGTATCGAACTTTTAAAAATATTATGAGGTGAAAAATCGACGAAAATCGAATCAAAATGATGACATATTGAAGCAACAACAGACAAACGGACTTTCAAAGAAATGCGGTATATTAAATGCGCGCTCAAACAAAGTATTTGACGCGGCGAAAGACAAAACGAATGAACAATGTAGTGTTATGTTATGTTCATAATTTTGATTTATTTTATCAGTTGCAGATTTTTCATCTTGTTGGGAAACATTTCATACTTCTCATAATTAAGGTAAAATTCTTCTATTTCTCTCTGGCGTTTTAAAATTCGGTTTCCAATATTTATGAATTCATTGAAGGTAGGGTAATTCGGATGTTTATTCAAGTGGCTGGCATAAAATCGTTTAGGCCAAATGATTGTCCAATAAAAGTAAATGTTTAATTGGAAATGATTTTCATAAAATTCATAAAAATTGAAATTTAACGGTCGTAAAAACACCATTTTCAATAGAATCTAAATCACTGACAACATTTTAAAAAGATGATTCCGAGAGAATCACACTATAAGCTCGCCAATATATTCGTCTAATACGAATATATCGAAACAAGCACATAAGAAAAGCGCTCTTTTTTTGTCCCAACGCCCACAGACGGCCAAGTTTTTTCAACGCGCTTCTAACACAACAAGGGGATATTAAGGCTAACTAAGCCATTACTCGCGAGTTTTAGGGTTAAATTGTAATGAAAAATGTTACATTGAAATCATTGTTTTGACTGTCAATATTAAATTTAAAACAATAATACGCCGATTCCTTTCTAAAAGTTTCTTGCTTCTTTCCACTTTTCTATTTCCCTGTTCTTCTGTCTGTTCCATTAGTTTTTAGTATAAATATATATAAGCATAACAGCATTTTTGTGTAAAATTTTCATTTTCACATTTGTGTTAAATTTGTTTTTTAGGCTAATTAACGGTAATTATGCCCAAAGCCCCAGCTCCGCTTTAAAGAAGCGAGATTTGTAGGCAATATTAGCTATTAGACAACATTTTTTAAAGTAAAGTTTGGAAAACTTGAAATTAGCCCAAAACCTATTCTTAAACATTCTGGCATAATATATTAATTACCCTTGTAGTAACAAGCGCGACAGCGATAAACAAGCTAATTTGCCCTCGGCAAGATTAGTTCAAAATAGTAGTTTTAATGATCGTCAAATGACGATTTTAATATTATAATCTGACATTATGACGTTCACATAAACTATATAACCAGAATAATTGGCTTAGGTCTAATGGAATATTTTATAAACGTATCCCCAGGAAACTATACTGCAGGGCAGTGTTAACTCTAAGGAAATTATGAGTGCGAAAGTGCTTTTTCTGATTTTAACTAGTTAGGTGCCCTAGCTTTCGTTTAAACTCATTTCCAACAGCATAGATACTCGAAAAAGCGCTCCTTCCGTTAATATTGTAAATTGAAGTCTTTCCGTTAACAAGTTTCGTTTAAACTCTTGTTAAAAACAAGCGAATTCATCAAAGGACACCTGATAAGCACACTTGTCGGGAGTCAGTAACGAAGCGCACTCCCGCCTGAACAGACTAGCCTTGCAAACTTGTTTCTTCCATCTAACAGACACCGATTGATACATGCAGATATTAGTTACTACCGGCCATAGCTAGGGAGGGGGATCATTTGTACAAAACCCGGGCAAAATGACATCCCCATCACCAATATCGCTTTAGTATAACACGCTTCCTCGTCCGAAAGAATATGCTTGAAAGTAGTCCGCCCTCTTCCCTTTTAAGAGATTGGTTAACGTCATGTTTCTCCGGCCAGTTTTTCTTTGGGAAATAACGCAAGATCACCATGAAAGTACCGCTGTTTTTATAGATAGAGTGACCTACTTTCTATCGAAGATTTTTTTT